AAAAGCTGATGTTAATTCTGTAGGCAGAAGAAAAGGATGAAGGTATTTTATTCAAGTTACTTGGAAAACTTGTTCATCATGTAATGCTGTAGGAGTCTTGGTCTCCTGCACAAACCTGACAGCTCCATTAACTTTCCTCCTACCATCACAGCAGGAAGCTGAGAGCAACAATCCTGGAAAGCACTTTTCCTTCCATGTAGTCCTTGCCTTGATTTTCTTCTTCAAAACTTCCCTGGGAAATGTCCCTGGTGTTGACTGCAGCTGAACAGCCCTGACCCACACAGCAACCTCTCGACAGCAGAAGGACCCTGCCCTGGACCCTGCCTTGGACCCTGCCTGTTAAAGGTCACTTCTTCTACCCACAGATTCTCCCCCCAGCATTGTGGGGAGCTCTCTGGGCAGGCTGAGTGCTGACCCTGGCAGGCATCAGAGTTCCTGCCCCAGCACACAGCCCCTGGGGTGCAGGGACCCTGCTCTGAAGGACAGCCCTGGGCACCCCTGGCTGCACACCCGTATGCAGCCTCCAACACCATCCATGGGAGAAGGCAGTTTTCATGTCCTGTCCCTCGGATGGTGCAGCAGGGAAGTCCTGCTCTGGAGCACGTCCTTCTCCTCTACATTAGAGACTCTGAGAGAGTCCTCCTGAAAGATCCCATAAACTATCAGATGTACCAATTGTAGGAGATCCTTCAAGGAACTGAAGCTGCATTGCCCTGAGCACAAATCCTTACCACACAGAGGGCTGTGAAGATCTCTCCTCAGTGAGCTCTCACCATCCTCCCACTCCCAACTGCCTTTAAGCTCTCTCAGCCTTGCAGATCTCCTCTCACTGCCAGTGACCTCAGCCCTGCTCCTAGGCAGAATGTGGAATTTGTCTGTGAAAATGTGTTTATTTAGTGTTCCAAATACAGGACAATCAACTTTTGAGGCAGTTGGCAGAATGCAAGAGTGAACCTGGGCACTGTAACGCTGGTCAGAGGAAGTGAAATGCATCTTGTGGGCCTTTGGATGTTACTAAAACCCAAAAATGCTAGACCATTTGTTTCCGTTTTGGCATTTAACTCTTGGAAATTTGCAATGTGTCGGTTTGCCACGGGGTGTCACTAAAAACATACCGTGAGCTGTTACACTGTGGTTTTCAAGTTTCAAAACTGGGGGCCTAACCAAGGCAATTCTGTTTCTTTCATGAGAGCCAGAATTTGCTACAAATGTTAAATGTGCAGAATACTAGGTGGACAGGTAAAAATGTCATGGGTCTGTTTCTGATGTGCTGAAGGATAGAGGAGGTGAGTATTGCCGTATCCCGCAGTAGTAGAGGGG